GCGGCTCGGCGGCTCGGCCGTTCGGCTGCGACTGCTGCTGCAGAGACGGCGGCGGCTGCTGCCTCAGGGACGGCAGCGGCCGGCCGCTAGGGGCCGCGTCAGGTGCAGGAGAGGGCCGCGTCAGGGGCGGCGTAGGGGCCGCGGCAGGGGCGGCGAAGGGGCCGCGTCAGGGGCCGCGTCAGGGGCCGCGGCAGGGGCCGCGGCAGGGGCCGCGTCAGGGGCCGCGTCAGGGGCCGCGGCAGGGGCCGCGTCAGGGGCCGCGTCAGGGGCCGCGTCAGGGGCCGCGTCAGGGGCGGCGTAGGGGCCGCGTCAGGGGCTGCGTCAGGGGCCTCGTCAGGGGCCGCGGCAGGGGCCGCGTCAGGGGCCGCGTCAGGGGCGGCATCAGGGGCGGCGTAGGGGCCGCGGTAGTGGCGGCGGAGGGGCCGCGTCAGGGGCCGCATCAGGGGCCGCCTCAGGGGCAGCGTAGGGGCCGCGTAGGGGCCGCGTCAGGGGCCGCGGCAGGGGCCGCGTCAGGGGCTGCGTAAGGGCCGCGTCAGGGGCCGCGTTGGGGCCGCGTCAGGGGCCGCGTTGGGGCCGCGTCAGGGGCCGCGTAGGGGCCACGTCAGGGGCCGCGTTGGGGCCGCGTCAGAGGCCGCGTAGGGGCCGCGTCAGGGGCGACGTAGGGGCCGGGTAGGGGCCGCGTAGGGGCCGCGTAGGGGCCGCGTAGGGGTCGCGTAGGGGCCGCTAGGGGGGGGCCGCTAAAAAAAAAATTAGGGCAGGGGCGCAATGCGCGTCGGGCAGCTAAAAAAAAAAATTCGTTATGGTGGGCCCTTAGGAAGGAACGGTCCCATGTAGGAACCCGCTCTATACCATGTGAATTAAGAAAACAGGAATGAAAATGACTAAGTGAAAGTTGGGTACAAAAAGCAGACCCTAGAAAACTGTACCCCATATGTGCTACCCCACTATAGCCTACAGTAGCTATGTCATATAAATCTGACAGATTCTCCCAACGCGCACAGTGGGGACTACACCTGGGCATCGAAAGAAATTACAACGCGTGGAAGATTTTTTACGTCCACTCAAAGGAAACAGTAGCAGCACGTGATGTCATTTTCTACGAGCGACTCACCCTTCCGACATACCTTGCCAACCTGGAAGAAGACCGGGACACCACATGCGGTTTCCGTGGTGACCGAGCCTTCGCCTCGGCAGCAGACGAAGCTGACTGGGACGAGCAGAACGTGGATGAAGCCTCGGAGGAAGCCGGACCTCTCCCTTACTGCTCCGTCGACGTCCCAATGGATGACGAAAATCCTCGCGAAAGCGCCAACGCCGAAGTATTTTACCACTTCGCCGACAAAGGTTACGTTACATCTGCAAGAGTCAACACCAAAGAAGCAGAACGCATAGGGCCCAACTTCATACCTGACCCAGAAGCAGGTGACGAAGCAGCTTATCCCGAGGACACAACACTTTCCCGCTACACACGGAGTGGTCTCCAGATACTCGGCCTCGTCACCGCGGTCCACGGCACGGAGATTCCTAAGGAGCCTGCCACAGTTCAGCAGGCTCTGGGGGGGGAGCCATGTAAAAATAGCGCGAAGCCATAAGGAGCTGAAAGCACTGGAAGAATGGAACACCTGGAAAGTCGTCCCCATCGGCATGGCACGCAACAAAACGGTACTCACCGGAAAATGGGTCTTCCGTGTGAAGACAAAGGCAGACGGTACCATCGACAAGTTTAAGGCGCGTTGGGTCGTGCGCGGTTTCGACCAAGAGCACGGACGTGATTTCACCGAGACGTTCGCCCCGGTCAGTTGACACACTTCACTTCGAATTCTTCTCGCGATCGCCGCCATGAAGAAGAAGAAATTGCGGCAAATTGACGTCGCCAACGCATTTCTCTACGCACCTGTTGACACCGAAATCTTCGTCGAACTTCCACACAGCTCCAACGGAGAGCCCAACCAAGTCTGTCAGCTATTAAAGTCCCTGTACGGGATCAAACAGGCTCCAAGACTGTGGCAGCAGTATCTATACGCTCGAATCACTCGCATCGGATTCCGACAGCTACCACACGACCAGGGCATGTATCGGCTCACGAAAGGCGACGACTACATCTTATTAATCATCTACGTGGACGACCTGCTTTACATCGGCTCGACCGACGGCATCACTACTTGGTTCGAAGGGGAACTGCAGCAGGACCTCACTCTCACAGTGTCATCAACTGTCACGCAATACCTCGGCCTTAACATCGAGGAAGAGGAAGGCGCGATCTATCTCAACGGCGCGAAATATGCCGACACTATCGCCAAATGCTTCGGACTCACCCCGATCACCATCTCCACGCCATACCGCTACACCGCAGGAAATCACAAGGAAAGTTCCGCTCTGCTCAAGCCCGCGGGCATACGCGACTACCAGAGAAAGCTGGGGTGCCTCCTCTTCGCGGCCGTCACCTGCCGTCCGGATCTATCGTACTCTGCGAGTCAACTCGCCGAGACAGAACATATGGCGGAGCTCGACCGCGCTCTTCACTACCTTGTTGGCACTCCGAGGATCGGCCTGACCTATCACAAGAACGGAACCTCGACACCTAAGTTAATCGGCTACGTCGACGCCGATCACGCTGGCGACTCCGACAACAGACGCTCGCGAACCGGCTACATCTATCGCCTCGAACCTTTCGGACCCATCTCGTGGCAGTCGAGCAAGCAGAAGTTAATCGCCTTCTCTTCAGGTGAAGCAGAATATATCGCACTTTGCTCAGCCACCAAGGAAGGACTGTACCTTCGCGAACTCCTGGAGGAAGCGAAGCTGGCTCAGTTACCCAGCTTCTCCTTGTTATGCGACAACCAGTCGGCAATTCGCATAGCCAACAAAAATGGATTCGCGAACAGGACGAAGCATATCATGGCAGATCGAGAAGGGGAGACTCGAGCTGTCTTACTGCCCCACTTCTGAGATGGCAGCAGAAGTTTGAGTATTGCATGCTGCTGAGTCGACAGAGCCACGTCATCAGCAGCGACACTCCAGAAGCGAAGGGGAGTGTTGGAAACAAGTTAACTTAAGCGCCTCTGTCGTGTCGAAGCACTAAGTTATAAGCGAAGCGAAACACAGCGAAGCATCAGCGAGTCAACCCTCGGAGGTTGAACAACTGCTGGAGGTTACGCGAAAGTCAAAGGTCAGCGCCCTTTGACCTGACAAGTACAGCGCGACAGCAAGGACAAACAACTGACTCGTTATTGAGCAGTTGCCCGAGTCGTCACTGTATCGAACCGCAACATCAACAGCAAAACAGTTATTAGTTATAACCCTTCATATTCCCTCGTACTCCTATAAAAGCTTGTATCTCTTTGTTTTAATTAATCTACTTTGCCCTCACATATCAGCGCAAGGTGGTTCACAAACCTTTCATTAAACGCTTCCGCTATTACATTGTCCTACTCAGAGTTTAGTCCTGCAAAGATCCTAAGGGCTTTCTCAGCCCAACATGTAGTTCATGCAGGCATGTTCGTTGTCTACGTTGTATCATTATATAGTGAAACAACCAAGTTGTTATCAAACAGTGCAACAAGGTGTTACCCTGGCGTGACCAGGGTGATAAAAAAAAAAAAAAAAAAAAAAAAAAAAAAAAAAAAAAAAAAAAAAAAAAAAAACAGAATTTCCCCTTTTTGAGAAAGGGCATTAAAAATATCACCCTAGCCATGGACCAAACATGTGCCCTACAACCAATTAGAGCGTGTTCCTTGTATTGCGCGAGAAGAAACAGTTGGAAGAATCAACAGCTGGAATAGTGGCTGATGGGATGACGGGAGTGGCTGATGGCATGGCGGGAGTTGCTGATGGGTGCTTTCACAGGCATGATGGGAATGTGCGGTCACAGGAGCGATCAGATGTTTTGTCACAGCTACTGAGGGCACCTTACCTGTTGAGGGGAAAAACAAATAATTAGACGGAGAGGCAAGAGATGAAGTGAGAGGTCCATGGGATGGAATCAGAATACAAGAGATGGCAGCAGTACGATGGGTCAATTCAGCATTGATTCCTCAACAAGCAAACCTCACACGCGTGGAACTTGAAGGAGGGGTGGAACTTACAAAGGAAAATCGGGGTCGGGTACGCCGCTACAATATGGATCCCCATTGTAGAAATTCAACTCGCAAGTCTGTCCCGGAGCACAACCATAGTAATAGCACCGATCTGGGAAGGAGTTGGGGTGAGAGAAGACGAATAGTGGGACCAGGACTCGATTGGGAGTTAACACACAGACACACGAGTAGTGGGACCACAGGTGGGTGGATGTAGAAAGAAACATGTCGTGTAACAGCTGAGTAGGACAGCTGTAAGACACCAAACGGAGATAGGATTGAACAAAAACTGAGATTCAAGAGGGGCAAGTGGGAGACTGAACAAGAAACGAGATCATAAAAGAGGGATGCACAAGGAGGTGTGGGAACTCTGCGACAGCAGGAGCTACCATCACACGATAGAGGCAGCACAACTGCACACATCTTACACGCTAGATCACAGCTGCACTGACTAGAACACAAGGGCTATGACAAGAAACACACAGCAGCCAAGGAACACACATGCACAGCAATCAGCACCTACCAACGCAGGTTCCAGGATTCTGCCAGTCATCCTCATAACCCTTGTCACAAACACAAGTCGCCACTGCAGTAGTGGTGTCACAGTGCATGTTCGCACCACACAGCGGATTGCATGGCGCTGGGTGGGGGTAGAGGCGACGGACAGGGGAGAGGGGTGGAGAGGACGAGAAATGAGGGGTGGTGGGGTTCAAGATTGAAACAACAAGATACTTTAAACGAGATGTTGGGAACACATGAGTGGTGAAGCCATTGGCACTGGAGGCAGCACAGCAGCACTTGAAGCTAGCATCACCCACCATGCGATGGAGGTTGGAGAGGAGACATGAATTTAAGACAGGAGCAAAGAAGCAGCACAGAGTAGCGAACAGAACCACATAGAGCAGCACACAGCAGTTCTTTCTGTCATATACCATCGCACGTCTTGCCATCCGTCTGCAGCGTAAAGACATTGTCACACACACAGGACGCTGCTCCAGTAGTGGCATCCTTGATGCACTGGCCGTTCGCACTACAGTCCTTGATCTTGCAGGTGTCTGGGTGGGAGGAGAGGCAGAGAGAAAGGGAGTGGGGTGGAGGGGACACGAAATTACGAGGAATCACAGCAGCACTAAGAGTAGCGAATGGAACTACACAGAATAAAAGTCGCCCACAGCAGTACTTTCACATACCTTTGCACGTCTTGCCATCTGCCTGCAGCACAAAGCCAGTGTCACACACACAGGACGCTGCTCCAGTGGTGGTGTCCTTGATGCACTGGCCGTCTACACTACAGTCCTGGATCTTGCAGGTGTCTGGGTGGAAGGAGATGCAGAGAGAATGGGAGAGGGGTGGAGGGGACATGATTTCAAGAGGAATCACAGCAGCACTCAGAGTAGCGAATGGAACCACATAGAATAAAGTAGCACACAGCAGTTCTTTCACTTTCACATACCTTTGCACGTCTTGCCATCTGCCTGCAGCACAAAGCCAGTGTCACACACACAGGACGCTGCTCCAGTGGTGGCGTCCTTGATGCACTGGCCGTCTGCACTACAGTCCTGGATCTTGCAGGTGTCTGGGTGGAAGGAGATGCAGAGAGAATGGGAGAGGGGTGGAGGGGACATGATTTCAAGAGGAATCACAGCAGCACTCAGAGTAGCGAATGGAACCACATAGAATAAAGTAGCACACAGCAGTTCTTTCACTTTCACATACCTTTGCACGTCTTGCCATCTGCCTGCAGCACAAAGCCAGTGTCACACACACAGGACGCTGCTCCAGTGGTGGCGTCCTTGATGCACTGGCCGTCTGCACTACAGTCCTGGATCTTGCAGGTGTCTGGGTGGAAGGAGATGCAGAGAGAATGGGAGAGGGGTGGAGGGGACATGATTTCAAGAGGAATCACAGCAGCACTCAGAGTAGCGAATGGAACCACATAGAATAAAGTAGCACACAGCAGTTCTTTCACTTTCACATACCTTTGCACGTCTTGCCATCTGCCTGCAGCACAAAGCCAGTGTCACACACACAGGACGCTGCTCCAGTGATGGCGTCCTTGATGCACTGGCCGTCTGCACTACAGTCCTGGATCTTGCAGGTGTCTGGGTGGGAGAGGCAAACAGAAAGGGAGAGGGGTGGAGGGAAAAGTAGTGCGAATAAAGAGTTTGTGAGACTCCACACACACACCCTTGCACAGGTTGTGTTGCACTTTACAGCACGACACACCCTTGCAAGAATTCATGCAGTCACGCACTCTACCTTGTTTACCGGTGCATGCGGGATTCAGCACACATGCGGGATTCAGCACACCTGAGTGCATGCGGGATTCAGCACACCTGAGTGCATGGCACATGGCAAAAGGCGTGGCACCTACCGGTGCATGTGACGCCATCAGCCTGCAGCACGAAGCCAGTGTCACACACACAGGACGCCACTCCAGCACTGTCCTTGATGCACTTGCCGTTGACGCCACACGCCTTGAGCACGCATGTGTCTGGGGAAGAGGAGACAGAGGGGAGGGAGTTGGGCGAGCGAGGTGGGGTTGGGCAAATGAGGGTAGACAAAGGATATGGGAAAGGACTGCCCACATGAGAAACCTCCCTCGACACGCTCTGACACGACTCCGGGCACCTAACAATGCTCGGCGCTTGACAGCAGGGCACATGGCATATCACAAGGCGTCGCTAATTGCATTGCACTGCATCACGCATTGCGTTGAACAAGGCATGGCACACTGCATAGCACTACACACATGGCACACAAGCCATCGCGTACTTGGCAGTGGACATGGCTATGGCATGGCACATACCGGTGCATGTAACCTTGTCAGCCTGCAGCACGAAGCCAGTGTTGCACACGCAGGACGCTACCCCTGCACTGTCCTTGGTGCACGTGCTGTTGCTGCCACACGCCTTCAGCACGCATGTGTCTGGCGACGAGGAGACTGAGGGGAGGGAGTTGGGCGGACAGGGTGAGGTTGAGAGGATGAGGGTAGACAATGGATATAGGAAAGACTGCCACACAAGACTGCCCACAGGACAGTAGCACACAGCAGTTTCAGCACGTACCAGTGCACGTCTTGCCATCCGCCTGCAGCACAAAGCCAGTGTCACACACACAGGACGCTGCTCCAGTGGTGGCGTCCTTGATGCACCGGCCGTTCGCACCACAGTTCTTGATCGTGCAGGTGTCTGGGTGGGAGGAGCGATGGGGGAGGGGAGTGAGGAGTGGAGGAAATGGGCGAGGATTGTGGAAAGGGACGTGACGAGGGAGAGAGTAATGAAGCGGAGTGTGAGAGAAGACGTGCACACAAGGAGTACGGACGGAGGGAGGGAAGGAGTATGCATGGAGAAAGGAAAGGAGTATGCATGGAGGGAGGGAAGGAGGGAGGAAAGTAGGGAGGGACAGAGGGAGGGAAGTGGGAGAAGGGAGAGAGGGAGAGATTGACTGTAAACAGAGGTCTAGTGGGAGAGAAACAGAAACGATATGGCTAATCGGAAAGATGCTGCGTACCAGTGCAAGCGCCGTTCACCATCTGGAAGCCCGTTTTGCAAACACAGGATGCAACGCCTTGAGCGTCCTTCACACAATTCGCATTGGCACCACAGTTCTTGATGACGCACGTATCTGAAAGGTAAGTGGCACGAAAGCAAAAGCGATGAGAACAGGAGGGGGGAGGAGGGAGTGAGGGAAGGAGGGAGTGGAGGGTGGGAAGGAGTGTAGGCAGGGAGGCATGGCACTTGACGGCATGGTTTATGGCATGGCACATGGCATTTCACAAGGCATGGCATAACCATAGCACATGACGTCATATGACAAGGCGTGGCACATTTCGTAGCACCAGGCATGGCGTGTTGCACAGGACAGTGGACAATGCATGGTGTACATGGCACATGGCATGGCACGTACCGGTGCATGTTATCTTGTCAGCTTGCAGCACGAAGCCAGCGTTGCACACGCAGGACGCCACTCCAGCAACATTCTTGCTGCACGTGCCGTTGCCGCCACACCCTTTGGAAACGCATGTGTCTGGGCGAGTGGTTGCGTGGGGGGGAGAGTGAGGTGAGAGGGAAAAGTTACATAACTCACAGCACCGCTCACTTGATAAGCAGAAGCACAAGACTGGTATGCCTTTGTCATCAACTGCTGGCGCGAATCAGCATGGCACTTGCAATAGCCCACGTTGAAGCACAAGACGGCATAGCCCATGGCATGGCACATGGCATCTCACAAGGCGTGGCGTGGCACTTACCGGTGCATCTGTGATGCCATCAGTCTGCAGTGCGAAGCCAGTGTCACACACATACACACACACAGAGTCACATAATGAGTCACAACGCAAACCACGAACGCACCAGTGCATATGCCCGCTGCCATGGCGTATCCATTCTTGCACAAGCAGGTCACAAGGTTCCCTTCCTTGTCGCAATAGGAATTGGCATCGGAGCCTTCGCAGTTCTTGATGGTACAGACATCTGAGAGAAGGGGGCGGACCGGATCGAACGAGAAAGTATATCTTCAAGTTGGTCCTTGAGAACAATGAGAGTAGTGGAATGGAACTACAGCGCAGAACGGATTCAGCACAGCATGGATTCGCCACAGAGTGGATTCAGCACAGCGTGGATTCAGCACAGCATGGATTCAGCACGTACCAGTGCACGTCTTGCCATCCGCCTGCAGCACAAAGCCAGTGTCACACACGCAGGACGCCGCTCCAGCACTGTCTTTGGTGCACTTGCCGTTGCTGCCACACGCCTTGAGCGTGCATGTGTCTGGGGATGAGGGGACAGAGGCGAGGGAGTTGGGCGAGCGAGGGGGGTTTGAGCAAATGAGGGTAGACAAAGGATTGCTAGATATGGGAAAGGACTGCTCACTTGACAAGCCTCGACACGCTCTGACAGGGCTACGGGCACCTGACAATGCATCAGTATGGCACTTGACATGACAGCATGGTACATGGCATATCACAAGGCATGGCACATGGTAAACGACAGGGCGTCACACATTGCATTGCACTGCATGGCGCATGGCATCGTACCGTACAAGGCATGGCACCTTGCACTGCATTGCATGGCACAAGGCAGGCATCGCCTACATGGCAGGGAACATGGCGTATGGCCATGGCACGGCACACACCAGCACATGTAGTCTTGTCAGCCTGCAGCACAAAGCCAGTGTTGCACACGCAGGACGCCACTCCAGCACTGTCCTTGACGCACTTGCTGTTGCTGCCACACGCCTTGAGCGAGCATGCGTCTGGGGAAAGGGGGGGAGAGGAGAGAGAGTTGCGCGAGTGAGGGGACACTGAGAATGGGTCGATATGGGAAATTACTGCGCAGGGACAAGCCTCGACACGCTCTGCTCTGACTGACAGGGCTCCTGGCACCTGACAATGCATCAGCATGCCACTTAACGACGGCATGGTCCATGGCATATCAGAAGGAATACATGACATAGCACAGGGCACATGGCATATCCCATGGCATGGCACATGGGATCTCACAAGGCGTGGCACCTACCGGTGCATGTGACGCCATCAGCCTGCAGTGCGAAGCCAGTGTCACACACACAGGACGCCACTCCAGCACTGTCCTTGGTGCACTTGCCGTTGCTGCCACACGCCTTGAGCGCGCATGTGTCTGGAGAAAGGGGGGGAGAGGAGAGGGAGTTGCGCGAGTGAGGGGACACTGAGAATGGGTCGATATGGAAAGTACTGACAAGCCATGACACGCTATGACACTGATAACACGGTCCATGCCATAGCACAAGTCATGGCACAAGGCATGGAACATGGCATGGCACATGGCATGGCACATACTGGTGCAAGTGACGCCATCAGGTTGCAGTGCGAAGCCAGTGTCACACACACAGGACGCCACTCCTGCAGCGCTCTTCACGCACTTGGATTTACCAACACACTTCTTGAGCACACAAGTGTCTGCCAAGGAAGGGTACGAGGCATACTTGTGAGTGGGGAGCGCAAGTGCTGCGTAATAGGTGACATGTGCGTTAAGGACCGAAGCAGTGAGCTGATTCATGCATGTGGGTGAAAGCTGGGAAGTGGAAGCGTTGTGAATAGGAAGAGCACCCTGTACGAAAGAAGTTAGGAAACACATGCACTCGTGACAGTGACAGATAAGCGTCGGAATAAAGCAGGGGGGACGAAAGCACAGCATCACAACAGCACATACGCACCGCTGCATGTAGTCTTGTCAGCCTGCAGCACAAAGCCAGCGTCACACACGCAGGACGCCACTCCAGCACTGTCCTTGATGCACTTGCCGTTGACGCCACACGCCTTGAGCACGCATGGGTCTGGTGAAAAGGGGCAGAGGGGAGGGGGTTGGGCGAGTGAGCGGATATTGAAAACAACAGATGAAGGAAATCTCTGCCAACGTGACAAACCTCAATATGAAGTCATGAAGCTCTAACAGAGCTGCACTTACCACTACAGCACTCACCAACACAGCAGCACTCACCACCGCAGCACTCACCAACACAGCAGCACTCACCACCGCAGCACTCACCAACACAGCAGCACTCACCACCGCAGCACTCACCAGCAGCAACACAGCCGGTGGGGGTCATGGAGAATCCAACGTTGCAGACGCATCTGGCACTGCCTTTCTCCTTAACGCACACCGCATTGGCGCCACACTTTTTCGCCACACACGGGTCTGCCGGAGGCTTATCTACGTGACCATAGGGAAGGAACAGAGAGGAGAGGAAGGGATGAGGAGAGGAAAATGGAGGATACAAAAGCGAGGTGAGACGGAGCATGAACACGTGGCGAGCAAAGAGAGGTGGGAGTGATCGGCCTGACAAGCTAAGTTGTACCACGACAAGACTGGACTGGAGTAAGGCCAAAGTGAATGGAGTATGAATAAAAAGAGCGGCGATAGGAGCGCTGACGTGAGCAGTGAATCGTGAGTAGGAGGAGTGCCGAGGGTGGTGAGCATCCGTCATACCCTTTGAGGAGATGAGGCCAAGGAGAAGTGCAATGGTTTGTTCCAGGCTCTGCGCACGGCCGCTGCTTGCAGCTGGCTGGCGACCGGCGGCAGCCCTGGGCGCACAGGCTGAGCGCGATTGGAGGGGGGGGGGGGGGGGGGGGGGGGGGGGGGGGCGGGGGGGGGGGGGAGGGGGTGGGGAAAGGGCGGGGTGGGGGAAGGGGAGGGAAGGGGCGAACGGAAAGAGAATGGGATGTGAAGGGAAGGGGAGAAAGCGGATGGCATCAGCGGGTGTTACTCTGTCAAGCGAACGGTACTGGGCACCGGTGGTGCAAAAGTGGAGGAAGGGGGACGAAGAAAGGGAAAACGGGGGAAGAGTTCAAAACGGGGAAAGTGGGAAGAGGGGAAAACCTGCCAGTCTCAACAATACTACAGAATTTATATACGGTGACAGTGACAGACAGTGCCAAGTCACCATAAAAAAAACATACGGTGTAGTCTAATGGATGGTAATGCGATCGCTCTAACAGGGTAAACACGAAATTCAAAGATGGCATTTTCAGGTGAAAACGACCGATGCCATGTATCGAACCCGCGTCTCAGCGCGCCACTAGGCTGGCAGTCTTCAAAAAAAATCTTCACGGACACGAACTGCCAGCATCAAGTATCGAACCCGCATCTCCTCTAAACCTCGGAGTCAGGTATGGGATAGTATTGGGTACTTATCAGTTAGATTACTTACTCGCCTCAAGCTGTCTGCTCAGACCCAAAAGTTTTGTATGGTCAGCTTTAGAATAGGCTGGGGTCGAGAACCCTTGGTGCCAGGTTTGAGACGGAAACATTTTGGAATGAGATAGCAGATCCAAGAGCATTAGAGCATACCTAAGAGCATGAGAGCAGCCATTGCAGCGAGCACGAGACCCGATCTCCGCGTCACAGCCACGCCGTGCGAAGCCATGATTCCCCTCGCGCCTGATGCGTACGCAGTCAACAGGTGGGGCGAGAAGGGCTAGAAGCATCAGCGGCAGCACTGCTGCCAGAGTGCTATGCGCAGAAGAGGAGTACGATGTGACACTGACCGTCCAATACTCCGTCTCGGGTTATCTAGTAGGGGCCCCCTCCATTTTGAGACGTGTTCCTCCTAAACTCGGATCGACGGCGGATCCCCTCTCCCGCCTTCCCTCCCATCTCTCCCCCACCCCCCACCTCCTGCACCCCCTGTAGGAGAGAGGGCGGGAAGGGAGATCGGTGCGACACATCCCCCCACTCCAGTCTCCTTGTCGGGTAGCGTGTGAAATCGCCGCACCGCAGCTGTGCTTCATCCTCAGCCACCCGATTCGGTTTCACATTACACCGTCCTGTGTGGGACGGTTGCACACGGCGGGACCACAATTCGCAAACACTGAACGTTGTGGTTGTTGGGAAATCAAAGCATTCACCGTCCTGAATGTACACCCTGAAGCTCGCGCATCCATCCTATTCGCTCACACACCCGACAGGCCCACGCGCAACGCACTGTTACGACCCTGACAACTGTGCTTTGTGAACTGGGGTTTAGCGATTGCTGGAACGAGTCAACCACTGTTCTCCCGATACAGTTAGGCGATGGTAACCCGGATACCACATAGCCCATTTTGCCCCAAGATGCTCGAGTGAGACCAATTTTTCCAGAAAGTCGGACGTAAGAAGACATGTGTAGACTTTCAAGCACAGTAGACCTGGCGGCGCGGAAGTCCCAAAATATGTTCCCGTTTTCGTGAAGTTCACGTTTCCGTGAAGTACGTTTTCGTGAAGTTTACGATGTCGTTTGCCTTTGAAACAAAGCATTCAACTGGGAATACTGTAGACTATCAAGCACAGTACTACCCGAGGCGCCAGTGCGTGAGACCTGAGCGTGGCCGCAAAGTCTTCTCCGCAAGTGTGTACGGCCGAAGACTATACTTCCGGAGTGGATGTGACTCCAGACAAAAGAGCCGGCGGATAATATTCGCGGCCAATACAGTAAGGGGCGATATCCGCCACATGACGACGTCAGTCAGGGTAAGGCGGAAGGCTACCGCAGACTCGCGGAGGGGCAGAGCGCAGCCGTGGGCGTGACATGCCAGATCTAACAACGGTAGGGGCGTGGTGGTGGTGTGATGCGCGTGTATTTTTTGAGAAGTCATGGAGCGTAGGTTGGTGGTCGCTTGAGGGTAGTGGGCAGAAAGTTTCGTTACGGTCAAGTAACGTTTTTAAGTTTTCGCAGCTGAATCGTGACCAGCCAGTGCTCGAGTTCTCAGTAACCCGAACACGGATTCCTGAGTGGCCAATCCGAACCACAAGGTCCATAAGAACTTAGGGCGCGTCTCCTTCGGCACAGATGGTGAAGTTCATCGTATTTTGTTCGAATTCTAGCAAATGAACATTGGTCGACCTGTAGTCGACAATCTCAGCAATTGATTGTCGGATCGCTTGTTCACTTTCTTGAAGGAAATTGGCCCCGCCCTCGCTTGGGCGAAGCTGACTTCGTGTTCGATTGTGCGAGAGGTTCAGTCGACCATTTGCAGAGGGTGACGTCGACTTTGTGGTCGTGTGCACGAAAGGTGCAGCCGACCGTCCGTAGAGGTCGACGCCAGCCTGGGCGTGCAGGTGGACGAAGGTAGTCGTCGACCTGTGCGTAACTACTGTAACACCGTCGACGAGGGTGGTCGACGAAGTAGTTCGATGACCAGGGTGGGCATCGATGGTGATCAACGACGGAGGTCGTCGACCCGCGACGACGAAGGTCGTCGACCTATGATGACGAAGGTCATCGACCTGCACGGTTGCTGGGGACCTTACCCGGTCGATGGCGTTACCTGTTCGACGAGGTTCAGCAGAGGCTCGCGAACATCGTCGATGTTGCTGTCACGAAGTCAACCGACGTAGTAGCATGTGGTCGATGCGGCTAGTCAGGTGCAACCGTCTATATGTGGCCGACCTGGCACCTGCGCAATGTGCGCGACAGTGCACGTCGTGCGTAACTGTCTACAAGCACCTGCGGATGCAACGTTGGCACTCTAACGTGCTTCAGGGTTGATTTTCATGTGCAGGGTTAATGGAAGTCACGAGAACATCCGGTGCAGGGGTGTTATCAAGTCCCAGTAGCTATCAAGCACATGCAAGGCAATTTTATAAGTGGCGGCCAGGCCCCGCGAGTGGTAAGTCACTGAGGTGGGCTAACAAATGACTAACCAAGGTCTAACATTATGTCATTTTGCAGGCGTTAAGACTGAGCATTTTTTTCTCCCTGTGTGAATGCCTATAAGACGTGAAGCTATGTAGAAGTTTTTTGTTTTAGCTGTGTTCGTTTTTTCGTATAGGTAGCGAAATGTGTATGCTAGTATGTATACAAATGTGCGAAGTATTATATATTGTGTACAGACCTTAAACCTCAGACCACAAGAAATAATCGCTGAAACGAATGCTCCGCTTGTACTGTTCAGGCAAATCGGCCGCTTGTAGAAATCATTTTCCGCACACGTCTAGGTCATGTCTGATTGGCACACATGTGTCAAACTGTAATCATGTTTGTGCTGTGTAGGCTGTAGTGGGGTAGCCCATATAGGGTAAAACCCCGTTTAGGGTTAGCACTTGTACCCACATTCTGCTCGTTAGTTTCTAACATGGTTTCAGAGCAGTAGGAACATAGGACCTTTTTTTTTCCGGACCCACCATTACCTAGTGACCGATTGCGGTTAGCGCATTACCCCACACCGTGCCCTGCGCTACGTCGTCAGCGCGCGCTCTGCCCTGTCGACATGAAGAACGCTTTCCTGCAGAGCAAGCTCGACAGGGTGCTATACATGTACCAGGCGGACTACTTCGACGACGGGACCGGCCGAGTGTGTAAGCTGCTGAAGAGCCTCTATGGGCTGAAGCAGTCACCGCTGTTGTGGTACAGGGGTTTGACAGTGTGCTGCTGGGCGCTGGCTGGAAGAAGAGACATGTCGACGAGGCGCTCTACTTCAAGGCCAGCGACGACAGAGTGACCTGCTGGGTGCTGGTCTACGCCGACAACCTGCTCGCCGCCAGCAGCAGCACCGCGATGCTGAAGGAGCTGAAGGAGCTGCTGGAGGCCGCCTTCGATCTGCGTGAGATCTCGCCGGTGGTGAAGTACCTTGGGCTGGAGATCGTGCGCGACAGGCCGGCCAGGAAGCTGTGGCTGCACCAGCAGGGCTACGCCGACAAGCTGCGCAGGCGCTTCATCGACGAGGAGCAGGGCGGTCGAGTCCCGAAGACGCCGGTCTCGGTCGACGCCTACGCTCAGCTGACGTTCGACGACGAGGAGGCTCAGGAGTGCGAAGAGGAGGAGTACCGGCAGAAGGTCGGCCCGCTGCAGTTCGCGGCGACGACGACGAGGCCGGACATCGCGTTCGCCTGCAGCAAGCTGGGGAGCGGCCTCACGGTGAGGAGCGACCAGCACTGGCGCGAGGTCGACCGCTGCCTCGCCTACCTCGCCGACACCCACGACACCGCCTTGGAGTTCGGCGGTGGACCAGAGTCGTTGGAGCTGATCGGCTACGTCGATGCCGACGACGCGGGCGACAAGCAGAACCGGACGAGCACAGGAGGCTACGTGTTCGTCTACGGAGGGGCCGCCGTCTCCTGGTCGAGCTCGCGCATCAAGTGCGCGACATTGTCATCGACCGAGTCGGAGTACGTGGCGGCCACGGATGCCGGCAAGGAGGGGCGTCGACTTCACTTCCTCCTTGCGGAATTCAAGCTGCTAGACGCTGGGAAGCCGACCATCCTCCGCGTCGACAACAAGTCGGCAATCACGGTCGCTGAGGGCTTGGGGCTGACGGGCAACCT